GGGCTCCTCTCTTGCGGCAGCCAGTGGCAAGTTCCCCATAAAGCATGATCTTAGGGAGGAGATGATCCTGCATCCTGGAGACGTGCCCTGCCCAACGCAGCTGAGTTCTCAGCAGCATGGCCTCAATGCTTGTGACTGCTGCCTGTTCAAGGACAGATGTGTTGGACACGAAGTCAGTCCAGTGGATGTTGAGGATTGTACGGAGGCAGCGCTGATGGAAGCGTTCTAAGAGATGCAAGTGGTGCCAGTAAATGACCCAGGATTCAGATCCATATAAAAGAGTAGACAGTACGATGGCTCTGTAATTCATTTAAGGAATTAACTGAACACAAATTCCTTTACAATAAACATGTGGCTAACTAGATGAAGTCAAAAAAAGCCCTTAAGTTGTGATTTTATTGTGCCAATAACTTGCCCGCATTTCATACCAAATGGTCACTGCTTAGCTGGGGTTTTCTAATGGTGCTTTTGAGATAGTTAGTAGGTGACTTGACAGACAGTATTAGAATGCAAATGCCACTTATAAAGTCTTTAATGGTCATCACTGTATATTTTAATAGTGATTTTGGTGATTTACTTGCAATCTTACGATGTCAGATGCTTTGAGCATTGTTGTTCATTTCCTGCTGTATAGCAACCTTACCTTTTACTTCTGTGACTTAACTCTGATTTTTGAGACCCGTGCTTCTGTTGTTTCTGCATCTGTTTTAGTTCTGCAAATTCTTGTTTTGCAAAAATGAAAGTCTCTCCCAAAGACTTCGTAATCAAATTTGTTCAGTTGTATGGCCCCTTCTGTTTAATTATTCTTCAAATGCTTAAACTCTTGATCCATAGCATGGAAGTACTTGGGAGAGAAGAATTCTGTGCACCAGCTGGACAGAGTCAACAATACAAATTCTTACTAAAGGGTGGTAGGGATTAGCAGTGTGATGATGCTGTGGATCACAGTGCTTAGTGAGTTATTGCATTTGGGGGGGGGGCTGAATCTCCATTTCCTAGTTCTGGTCAACTTCTAACTTAATAACAATGTAAACAAATATGATTCAAGTGATTAAGGTAGCGTGAAACTCTATTTGTAATGGGGAAATTTACTGAAGTACTTTAACTGCTACGTTGCAAAAAGAAAACAGAAAATCCAGTAACTGCAGCTCTCAGGTTACAGCCAAGTTTTGTGCTGGGGGAGAAATGAATGCCATAGGTGAAATTTCAATGTGGTGCCTCACGAGTTCAATATGTACTGTTCTTACTTCCTAAGAAGTAAGCAGCAAGCATTTAGATTGTAGCATAGAATTTCATTCTCTCTGAAATTCTGGCTATGTTATCCTTGAAAATATTTTGCTCAATTCTTGAATATACCTTCCATGAAACTGTGTGAGCTTCACTCTTAAATTCAACCTATTTCCATAAACTGCCTCTAGAAAAGCCATTTGTCACTGCCATTAGCCATTTGGTACAGATATTGTCTGCAGCCTCTGAGCTTCATAAAATGGACAGATCCTTATCAGTAATCAATATTTGCAATATTTGTTAATATAAATCTGTCATTACTGACTCATCATTTGAAATGAATTTGAGACGAAGTACTTTATTATGGGACTGGTGATTGTGGTAGAAGCAAAACCTATAAAACTACCAAAAGTGTGGGATCCTTAACTTTGCTGGCATATCAAAGTCAAAATGCATGGACTTGAATCCTCATGTGGAACATAACTAATAAGCAATAATAATGAAGACTCTTGACACATTCCCAAATTGCATAAAGGTCTTCATTAAGATGCAGCAGCTGTTTATTTTCAGGACCACATGGTCTAGTCAGCATGATAAGAACACAGTGGAGAGGGATCAGCAAGACTGCCTTTAGTGGAAAACACACACATCTTTCTTATCCACTCTAATGGGTCAGTAAAGAAGAGTTGACTTGGAGAATAATCAGAGTAATTTTCCATTTATTTTTTTTCCTTTCTGGCATGCCTTAGGCTAGGGAGGTCAAATAAATGCTAAAGAAAAAAACTGGATCTGGAACCAGTCTGAAAATAAATATACATCCCATGAGTAGTGCTGTGTACAATTTGCTTAGCCTTAAAAACTAAGTTTGTCTGCCAGTTGATTGCCTGCTTCATCGAGGAAATCTGCTTAGCCTGTATGATTCTGAAAGCTCCTTTTCTTCAGTTTCAAAATCTGAGGGATGTGAATTAACTATTTCCCATTCCTTGTTTCTTTCAGCTTTCCCTTTCACATATCAGTCACATTACTCACCAGCTTCCTTCTGGCTGGTTTGCAACTAGGAGATTTTTCAGTGAGCAGTGACAAGCTCTGGATTTTCCTGCTATGTAATGAAACTCTAACAGCCTTGAAATCTTATTGGCAATGCCTGACATAAAATAACACCTGACTCTATCATGTCCTTCCTTGCAATTCAATGAGATGAATTTAAAAACCTTATATGCTTTCTAGGTAGAGGCATATCCTGTTGCACTCTGTGTGTCAATGTAATTGTATTTATTCTACCTGCTTTAATTCATTAGTAGTGCAGTCAGTGCTCTGATACCTTGGCACTGCACATCCAGCCATGAAATATGCATCTTGGATAATTATTTCTGTTCAAGAACAGCTTTCCAATGCCCTGGGTTTGAATGTCTTTCAGTTGATATTGTAAATGAAACACCATGTGAAGTGGTCTTCTGTTTGCTTTGTCTAGTAGCCTATAAGGAGCCCGGCTGACCTGTTTAGTGGCACCATATTTCTACATTAGTCTCAAGTGGAACATGGTCAGTAGTAGACTTTGAGCTTACTTTGAAATAGAAGGTGGTCTGACTCCTTTATGGGTTTCTCCTGTCTGCCCCCTGCACATGCACTCTTTCTGAAGCAGAGTCTGCTGCTCAGATATAGGGCCAAACACAACTCATGGAGGGTGCAGTGTTTTGAAACCGAGCTCTACTTTTGAGACCTGATGAAGAACAAGATCTGTAGACTCCTTTAACCTGTATCTCAACATATGGGCCACAGCCAAATGTTCACAACAAATAAAAGTAGGCTCTTAAATATTATATAGGGCATACCTAAACATGGTGGTGTTCTTAATCACAGTTTGCTGTTGAGACTTTGTGTAGATTCGATATTGCACTTTTATAACATGTAATTTTATGTCTTCTGTAAAGTGTCTGTAATAAAAGTCCTATAATCCTTCTCAAGTTCTTACAGAACTCAACTCAAGCTCCAAGAAGTAAGGGAATCCATTTTGAAGTTTCAAAATTTGCTCTGTTTGAAGTGACTGAATTTTTGAGTCACTGAAAAAGCCTCCTTGAAGAGGCACAGGTGACTTAACTGTCTTTACTGAAACAATGGAACAATTACACCAGCCTGAAAGGGTGACTTTCATTTTTTGTACTGCTGAGACCTTCTAAATATCAGGCACATGTCACCTGATGAGTATATTCTATTATTATGATTGGACAAAAGAATATACTGCCTCACTCTTGATTAAAAGAGCAGCAACAGTTGGGACTGCTAGGTCTTAACATTCTTGTTAACATATATTTTTTAAGCAAGTGTTACACTATTGATTCAGTATTTTGTCTGTCTTAAAATCAGTTTATCAGGATAAGGAATAGGTTCTGATTTCTAAATATATGTTGGTTGGCCTAAACTATCTGCAAACTTGCCTTTGTGTTCCAGTTTCTGCTTCAGTGCACCTTTTGGTCAGGCTGTTCTTAGGCTTATACATTTGTACATTTTGCAGAGGGAATCAAGCTTATTGTTAACATTTGCTTTATCTCGAGATAATCTTGAAAGTGTAAGGATTTTTATGGTAGGAGTTGAGAGTCTTATTTGGGTGCTTTGTCACATACTAAAGAGCATAGGTAGTGCCTGTCTGTGTGTTAAGGTGATGAGACCTGTCCTCACCTTTTGAGCTTTCAAACAGTCCCACTTGCAAAGTGTGTGGCTAAAAAAGCCAATGGATAGTTTGTTTTCTGTGAATCCTGGAGGCTGTATTGATTGGAGGCACTTGTAACAGCTCAGTATCCATTGGTCTTGTTGAGAGTCTCTTGCAAGATGAAGGATTGCGTAGTATGAGTTCTTTTAAAATGAAGAGTTTGAATTGAAGGAACAAGCTGATAGTAAATGGATATCCTACACTTAATCTTATCCCTTGATTTTACTGATACTGAAGGTTTTTAACACCACCGATTATCTCTCCTGCCATTTAGAGAACGCCTTCACAAATTTCTGTCTGTTTTATTTGATTTTCACTTCTTTCCCCCCTGACACAGGTTCCAACTATGGGAGTCCCCGCCCGGCTCATGCCAACATGAACGCCAATGCAGCTGCAGGGCTTGCCCCAGAGCACATCCCGACTCCGGGGGCAGCTCTGTCCTGGCAAGCTGCGATCGATGCCGCCAGGCAAGCCAAGCTGATGGGGAGCGCTGGCAATGCGACGATATCCACCGCCAGCTCCACGCAGAGGAAACGGCAGCAGTACGGGAAGCAGAAAAAACAGGGTACCACCACAGCCACGCGTCCTCCCCGCGCACTGCTGTGTTTGACACTCAAAAATCCCATCCGGAGGGCCTGTATCAGCATCGTCGAATGGAAATATCCTTTCTGCTGTTCTCGATCAGAAAACTGCAGATCGTTTGGTGCCCGTCAGGTGCCGTTCGGAAGCATGGGGAAATCAATACCTTAAGCTGAAAGGCACTGCTGGGAGCTCAAAGTACATGAATAGTTTTTGATGTCTTAACTGAGATCATTTATGCTGGGGGAGGGGGAAGGGAGGGAGATTAGAGCTGAAGCCTTAACTACACCTGTGTGTTAGAAACCACTGGAAGTTTAAATGATGAAGGTTAGGGGTTGAATTCGGCTCTTTTAAAAACACATGGCCCAGACTGAAATGGATGGGAGATATTCAAAGTATCTGAGGCTGGAATTGAACTGAGTCTATGGGATTGATAGCAGCTCCTGGCTTTCCTTTCTGGGACTTCGATGAGGTGTTTTTTTGTTTGTTTTTGTTTTGTTTTGTTTTTTATAATTTTTGTTGGTTGGTTTGGTCTGGTTTTTTTGTTTGTTTTTGGGGGGTTGTGGCTTTGTTTTGTTTGTTTGTGCTTCGTTTTGTGGGGGGATTGTGGTGGGTTTCTTTGGTGTATGTTTTTGTGGGGTTTTGTTGGGTTTTGTTTCATGTTTTTTGGTTGGTTGTTTGGGTTTTTTTTGGTTTGGTGTTTGTTTTTGGGTGGTTGCTTTCTCGCAGGTGCTACCAGTCAACAGCTCTGGTACTTTGAATTTCATGTTTTATTTGATGATCATGTGACATCACACTCTACAGTATGGAGAAAAGAATGGGGCAAAAGGAGGAGGTAAAAGCCCCCCCAAATTTATGCAGTAAGATCCTGAAACAGGGCGAAGGACTGTTAATTTTATTGGAATTCCACTTAAATGAGTAAGGCTCAGTAATGTATGGTAAGGGATAATGCTTATCTAGAAGAAGGGAAAAAGAAACACTTTACAGTAATCCTGCGACATGTACAAATGCAGTGCAGAGCCAAATCTAAGTGTCTGAACATGAGACAGACTGTGTCATAGACAACAGATAACCACTGACACAGAACTGCAGAATGTAAGGATCAGTGCTGCTCCCCTGGAAAGCCATTGACAGTTTGGCCAAAGCTTGAAGTGCAAGGAGCAAAGCCTGTTTAGTCACCCAAGGCTGATCAGTGCAAGCTGGAATTTCAGTATTTGGTGTGAAAAGCAAGCTGAAATAAAATGTATCTCCCTTGCATCCCTGAAGAGAAAACAATACTAACCCTAATCACAGGCTAATGGGGTGCTTCAGTAAACCAAAAGAAAATGCATGTTTTTAGGGATAGATAAGCTAGTCAAGGGAAGGTTGTACAGAACTTGGCAGTAGTTAGTATGATAAAAAATGAATTAAGGCATTTTAAGACAATATGATAATATTATTCCTTTGGGTGTCTGGTGGGATTTTAGAAAGGTGAAAACAGAAAATGGGTATATTAAATATTGCTGACATAGACGTATTTTTCAGATGAAGAACTTGTTAAAAACGCCCCTGTCAATTCTTAGATGTCCTTAAACTGCCTGCCTACCAATTCCTTTCTTCTTAAGGTGCTAATTTTTAATCCCCTGATTAGGTTTGCTGCTTTTTATTGCTTCTGACATAGCTCTGATACTTTAGGCATAAGATGATTGATGGTGACTAACAGGATGAAGCTGAGTATTGGTTTACTTGCCAGCATACCAGTAACCACAGGTCTTTAGACAGAGCAGAGAGTGACATTCGATCAGCAATGAATGATGGGAATGAGATGTTGTAAACCAGGATACAGCACTGCTGAGATCAAGAGAGGACCAAACAATGCAATTAAATCAGTCCAAATATGCTGAAGCTTGCATTTTTTGGTTTTGTTTGGTTTTGGCTGAGTCGGTGGAAGGTTTTTTTTTTCCCCCACCAGAACCTCTCATTGCACATCTAGTGTTTATAAACATGAAACACTTCAATGGCAAGTAGCAATATCAAAGGATTATGATAAGGTTTAATTTTATTCTGTATTCTGACTTTTCCTAATTGCTGAAAACTACTGAGGAAAGCTTAGCTTAATTTGCTGAACCACTAAAGTTTAAGCATAATAGATATTAAACAAATATCAAATGGTACTTCAGTGGTATTTCTTACCCAAATGTTATAGTGTTAAGAGCCTGAAGGTGCAATTGCATTTATGAAAAAGTAAAACGAATAAATTGCCTTATTTTGCAAAGGTTTAGCTGTGTATTTAATTTTCTGCTTTGTCTGCACTGTATTTGTAGGTGATATATAATTTTATTTTTACAGTGCAATAAAAAGAATAGAAGTAAAAGAAAATATGCATGAATAGTGGTAAGTTAATAGACAATAATCCAACTAAAACAAACAACCAAAAAAAAATCTAGGAAATAAAACAATTAAGACCACCAATATTATATAAACAGGCTGAGGTATATCCCTGAGAAATCTCACTGATTTCACATGTAATCTACCTACCCCGATCTGCTCTTGTTCCTCCACAGTATCATATATCTCCTACTATTAACAGGCTTAAGCACAGGAGTCTGGTGAGATTGGAGTTGAGTCTTCCTTTTGTGAAATGTAGGATATATTTGAGTATAAACAGCAGTCAGGTGCCTGGAATTTGTGTTTATCTTGCAGTTCAACTGCACATAATAGATCTCCAGTTTTTTCCTACCGAAGCCTGCTGAGAACAGTACTCTGCTGACCAAAATCACCCATGCTATGCTGACATTTGGCAGCGCTGCAGAGCCAGTCCCATGGGAGATAAATTCATGCTCAAATGCTGTCTGTGGCACAGGTTATGCTTGGCATTCTCCCTGTCCTATCCTACTCTTCATTCTCCTCCAGAGTACTGGTAAGTTATCCCAGAGCAGAACTCCAGGATATTCTTGCAGGCAACTAAACGTAGACAGACTGTAAATCTGGTCCATGGTCTGAGATGGGGGGACACTTCACAGCAACTGAGATCACTGAAGCAGATGAAGTACAGGCACCAGCAAACAAGGCAGTAGAAAATACCCTTTGATTCCACTGGACAGGCAAAGAACATTGAGGTCACACAGGATTTCTTTGTTGAACATTCCACATGTTTGGTTCCCTCTTCCCCACCCCCAACAAAGTTGGTGCAAGGTTGAAATGCCCAAGAATTGTTGCTAGTTTTTCTGTCATAAGGAACTCTTGACTTCCTGGTGTCCCTAATATACTGTGCAGGCACGTTTGTGTTCCCTGTGATGCCAAAAGAAATGTGAATAAGAGAAGAAGAAATAATCCCTCAAATAATTTTTAGGCAAAACAAGTATACCTGACAGTGCAAGCACATTTTGGACAAAGCCATTTTCTTGCCTTAACAAAATTTATCGTGTTTTAAGCATCTAGCCATGTATGCTTGTATTCCTTGGGCCCTTACATTTAACTTTGAGATGTGAGAGAGAAACCGAGAATGGGGGAAAAGAAATACAGCAACAAAAGGAAATCAAAACAAAACCAAAAAAAACTTCAAACCAAAATGTTTGCTAAAATTATTTGAGAATTTGTAAATGCAGATGGAAAAACACCAAGAGGAACTAATCCCAAGAGGAACAAAGGCAGTCCTTCTAGAGCAGGTTTCTGTTAATAAAAATAGTACAGCCACACTAGAAGGAAAATCGGGAAAATGCAATCTAAATAAATTAAAGAAGAAAAAAAACCTTTAAGAAATCTGTGTTTACTCTGGCACGCGACTGGCCTGCACTGCTTTTGACATATTAGGAAGATTCTTGGCTGGAAGCTCCTAAAAGCACTTAAAAAGGCATATGCTTCTTTTCAGAATATAAGGGGCTTGGAATGCTTTCTTTAAACAGAATTCTTATAAATTTTGTTTTTATTTTATTTGTGCGTGTACATTTTGAAACAATTTCCTTAACTCCATTCCTCAGACCATTTGAAATAATTATTTTACTGACTATTTTTGCCAATTGTGTGGCCTTAGCTATCTATATCCCCTTTCCAGAAGATGATTCCAATGCCACCAATTCCAATCTGGTAAGTCCTCGATGGTGTTTGGTTTTGCTGTTTTGAAAGTCCTTTTGAAAAGCGATCAGAGACTGTTGAAGCTGGGGAACATAAATATATCCACCAACTGTGAGAACTTTATAAAAATTGGATTTGACTGCTATGTCTTGTTTATTCCCATTAGCACCTGTTACAGTCGAGCTTGGATTTAGAAAAGAATGTTCCAAAAGCTCTGCAGATGCACAGTGGTGTTCAGGTTAACTATGTGGTGTTCAGGTTAACAAATCTCTGTGTGCTGCAGAAGTGCTTGGTGACTTTTAAACTGCAGGTATTTGTGGAAGAGATCCTTTAATTAGAGATTATATGGTGGGTTTTTGTCTTAAACTGTGCTGGTGTGAAATCAATACTGTCCTCCTTTAGGTGATACCCGGGAGCACAGCTTGATGACGGATTTCTGGGAAGTACAGGAATGCTTGCATTTCAGACACATGTATTTATTTGGTTGAACAGGGCTTGTGTGGTTATTTTTTTTTTAGTTGTGTTTTTCTTGGTTTTTTAATTCTTCTCTCCTATTGGGGCAATATAGCTTTTCTTCTGTCACCACTGATGCCAGTGTTGGTACTTAGGGATAGAGCTATCCATATAAAAAGGCAAGAGTGTTTACTTTTGGCTTAGCATGAAACCATAGCCAAGAATTTTGTCCAGTAAGAGCACAACACAAAACAGCTCTGGAACGCTGTTCACTGAATTAGCAGAAAAGATTATTTTTCTTCTCAAGTATGTGAACAAATCTCTATTTGTCTGGTTGAATCAGGATGAGAACTTATTCCCAGAGTTCTGGGAGCTGGGATGCTATTTCCTGATTAAAATTTATTGAGACTTAAGAAATTTTGGAGCAATAGTGGAGGAAAACAAAAGCCATACTTCTAAAGTAGCGACAACTGGGATGGCTGACAGACGTTGTAATTCAGAAGATTCATGCTGTTCTTGGAAGTCAGTAATTTCATTAAATATCTCTTGAAGTTTAATAAAACACATTACAAACCTCATGAATTGCTGAAACAATACTTCTTTGTTAAAGAAAAGGAGAGGGGAGTAAAAAATTTGCAGTGGAGTGCATTTGCACTGTAACTCCTTTAAGAAGTGTAAAAATAAGAGCAGGAGGTGATAAATGATTGTTAACTAATCTCTATGTTCACACTATATGTGAGCTGATATTTTTTTTCTTTGGCTGCTCCTTGTTAGCATGACTTAGTGTTTAACAATAGCAAATTGTGGTGTGTATGTTTAAAAAACTTCAGTATGGCATCTCTCAAAAATTACTATCTTTTATTTAATAAAAAGCAGATCCAAACAATCCTTTGGTAAGAAAGGCAGTATTGTTCATTGCATGCTCTGACTTTTGGGGCTAAAAGAGGAAAATGAAGCAGATTTGAAGGTCAGAGGACTCACAATTTGTCTTGAACTTAGTTGGTTGTGGGTATTTGCCTTAGTTGAGTGAGGAGACTGCTGGCTAATACTAGACTGGAAGTATGTTCATAACTGAATGAGATATATTGAAACTGTTCTACTATCAAGAAATATGTTCCCCTTGCTATTCTGCATCTGTTTTCCAAGGCATCTCTTGAATCATTCGGTCAGTCAATCAAAACACTCATGTTGTTTGTGAGTAGGATTTAAAAAAAAACTCAGCCAAGCAAGAATTATCGTCTCAGGAAAGTTTGGAAATGTTATAGCCTTGAGGATGAGGAGGCATTGTTAATTTATCTAAATAGCTGTTTCACAGAATAAGGGGAGAACAAAGTTAAATGAGGAGTCTGCTTCAGTCCACTTTTTGTCCTGTGTGTTTTAATGGAAAAAAAATAATTAAAAATGGAAAATGGGATGCTAATGTATCCCATGAGGGACTTGTACTGGTGCAATCAAGACTCTCTTCTACACTAGAGATCAAACCCTTGAGCTCTGACTGCTCAGTAGGCTTTGGTCCTGTGATCTTTTCTTAGTCTGTGTTTGTGGTCGTTGGGTTTTGTGTGCTTTGTGGGTTTGTTGTAGTTGTTTTCTCAGTGATGTACCTGTCTCTTGGCATGTCTATACTGCTGTTGAGAACGTCACGTGCTGCACTTTGTGTGTAAAGTTCTAAGCAATACAGAGGGGAAATGTAGGCAAACGGGTGAGATAAGGGTGGACAAACTGTTAGCTGTGTTTTGGAATGGGGTGAAAGAACAGATGAAACTTGGAGTCAAAGGGAAGCTATTCCATAAGGCAGGAACTGTACAAGAGTGGGCCTTACTGTCAGAGAGCCAAACTGTACATGGGAGAGACGAGAAAGAAGCTGGGCTTAATAATATGTTTGTGTAAAAGCCCATGTACTCCCTCCATCTTTTCAATCTTTTTCTACCTGTGAGCATGTATTTCACTGTCAAATTTATTTTGTACCCATGAAGTCCTAGAGCTCCAAAGGCCTTAATCTGATACAGGCAATGAGTCTGTGTGCAATGTGTGCACAGAGGTGTGTACTGAGCAGAAGTGTGACTGGATGTGTGCAGAATCCTTGTAGCTGCCCAGAAGAAATCTTCCCTGTGTAAGAACTCTTGATTCACTTCCATTTCGTAGTTTAGTCTTGTTTAGGGTTAAAGCTACCACAGAAACTCCCTCATCCCTGGTTTCCTGAGCCATCTGTAACTTCTTGATTCACAAGAAACTTTCTACAGAAAACATGTTGGGCAGTAACTGTTTTACAGGGTCTGAAAGTGAGAGAACAACAGTTCTCCAATAAGCTGCCACATTTCCCTTAGGGACTGAATATTCCTTCCCAAAGGTTTCCTTATAACTTTTCAAACAAGGTTTTCCTTGGTACCTGAAGTAATTCAGTCAGTTGTTTTTAACAAGCTAATGGAGTAGAGGGTGGTGAGGGAAGAGAAAGGAATTCTAGATTGTGTGAGTGGCTTCTTTCCTTCTCTCTCTAAAAGTGAAAAATGAGACCTACACAATATTTTGATGAATAATTTTCCTGTATGAATTTCCTACCTGTGACCAACCATTGGTCAAAGAGGGCACACACAGTGTTGTCTGCCTTCCACAGAAGTCTTGGAGGCTCATTTACCTGTACAAAACCATGTCTCTATTTTAATAAGCCTTATCTTTATCTGCAAGATGTATTTGATGTGATGCCACAGTGATGAGCTTTTGAACTAATGCTCACTAGTCCAATTCTTCACTAGTCCAGTAAAGAATTCCTTCCCTTTTGCAGGAATTGTGAATAGCTGTTATGTATTACATAATATTACAGGTTTAGGCCAAATACCACATGGATGTTCTGACTGTTTCTCTGCACTCTGTCTTCCTATAATAATAATTCCTGTAAATCCTCAAGCCATTTTTATCAAGTCTAGAGATGGTAACTTGGACTGTGAAGCACTTTCATTTTCTAAATGCCCAGTTATACTAAACCCCAAATTTCACATTTTTATGCTCCTTGCAGTGTCTTTGTCACTGGCTTTAAGAAAAATGCCAGAACAATATGATATACCCTGCAATAAATGCTTGAAATTGGCTTCGGCAGTTTTTATATGTTACTTCTGCAGTGTGTTCCTGGAAAAGCATTGAACTTGCACAAATGGAGGGGAGTCATATGAGGTGCAAAATTTTTTTTGTGTGAATGGAATCGCTGAGACTTTGTTTAAATTTGCTTGTAAAGTAAAATTCTGTGCAAAGAGCCATTGTGTATTAATGCAGTCAGGAAGATTGGAGCTAGTTTGAGGGGAATTAAAGTTACCCTGCATCAGAGGCTGCAACTGATAGGAGGCTTTCTGCTTTTGTCCATGCAATTATGTATTAGAACAGAGATAACAGAACAAAACTATAGACTGCCTAAGATAGGAAGCTGAGAGGAAAATGCTTCTGTCACTTTACTGGCAACTGCAAATGGCACAAGCCTGGCCAGTGTCACAGTGTGGTGATAACATAATGAGGTTAAGACCAAGGTTTGCAACACGTTTCAGGGAAGGCAGCTCAGCTGGTTGTTTATGCTTTGGATAAAGAGCAGGAGAATATTCCTAGTGTTGTTTTGATAGCTCTGCTTTCCCTTTCTTGTCCTTATTACAGGAAGGAAATCCTGTTGTACACTAGTTAAATTTTAAAAATAGGTCTCTTGTGTTTATATGTGAGCTTATAATGGGATGTCACCTTCAGACTAATTTGTTAAACCTGAAATAGGACCCTGTGAAAGAAAAAATGGGATTTCTGCTTGCTTGTTAGTGCTTTTGCCAGGTTCTATCTGCCTATGGAAGGGGGCTTGTCTTTCAGGAAGGTGTGGCTGCTTTATTAACTGGTGATTATGGTACTATCCACTTGAGCTGGTGATTCATGTGTTAAAAAAGTAGGAAGTGTCTTTAGTTTTTTTTTTTTCTTTTGCATTTTCAGCAGGCTGACACAATACATGTGGATGTGACTATCTATTATGTTTCTATATATTGGCATAACAAAATTAAACATATTTTGTGTCCAGAATTCTGGAGTCACCAGATTGAACAGTCGCTCAATTTGTCTTGTGCAAAGTCAGAAACAGTTGAAGAGCAAAGGGTGGGTGAGAGGGTCAGGAAAAGAAAGGGTGGCTTTTGTGCATAAGGGTGATGAAGAATACTGCACAAAGGCTTTTGGTTCTCTGGTGTCATTGCTATCGTGCTCCTGTGTGACAGAACGTGAATAATGAGAGATACTAACTCCAGGGGTGAGGTGCAGGGGGGGATAGAGAGCATACCAAGCTAATAAGCTCTGATAGGTTTATTACCTTGGGCCTCATGCCAGCACTGCTACAGCTTGGGAGAGGGTATAGAACTTGAGAAGTGAGGAATAAGTGACAGAAACTGAAGAGAGATGCTGAGGAGTTTGGAAAGGGACGGGAGTCAGGATGAGGAGAAGAAAAGAGATTTTGCCAAAAAATCCTTCAGGACTTCTTCCAGAAAGATTGTGAATTACTGTGTGGTTCTAAGGAAGTTAAATATGATGGAATTTAGGCTCAGCACTTCCCG